ACACACACACCCTGAAATACCCACACGCCAGTACAAACACACAGTTACCTCAACACACACACACTCACCCTGACACACGTACATTCCATGAATGTCATGTCAACTTTTGCACAAGCACATGCACAGCCAGCCTCTGCCCTGTACACACAAACCCATGCTCATTCCACCATCAACATACACACAAACTCACAAACACAACCACACTCACACCCACTTTCAAACAACCACATGCTCATGCCCCTCTCCGTAGACTGTCACCTTCAGCCCTCTGAGCAGCTGAAACACAGACACACAACACGTGTGCAAGCACAGATGGGCAAACACACACAAATACCTTTCACAAACACAGCATCCCTCAACCACCCCATCTAGGACACCCCCATGCTGCCACTCTCACCCCAGTGCACCTCCACACGCTCTCACATTTGTGTGCACACAAGTGGCCCACACATCGCCCCTCCCTTTCTCATCCGCTTTCCACTGTCTCTGTCACTTTGCTCCCACTGGTCCTGCTGGGAGTGGGTCCAGCTGGCCCCATCTCTCGCAGCCCAGGGACCCCTCCCGGGAAGACAATGGTCCCTTCCCTCCTTCTCAGCCAGCGCATCACCCTCTGCCGCCCCCAGTCTCTGCCCTAACCTCCAAGTACCAAGGTGTCCGAGACTCCCACCCTCTCCAGCTCAGAGAGGGTGCTGGGCAGCCCGACGCAGCCCAGCGAAGAAGGCTCCTCACCTGTTTGCACCTCTCCTCAGCGGCTTTCTTATCTGACTCTGCCTGTTCGGCGCGGTCAATGGCGTTCTCCTTGTCCAGTTTCAGCATCTGCATCTTCTTCTTGATGGCCTCCATGGCTGGGCCGTGGTGGGTGCAGGGGCAGAGCGGGCTGCGGCGGGGGCTGGAGGGGCTGCAGGGGCGAGTGAGCCGGGAGGGCAGAGGAGAGGCCCTTATAGGCTCCCAGGGTGCGCCGCCCTGCTGCCGGGCGAGTCTTGGAGGAGGCCCAAGCCCAGGCCGGCCGGGCCAGCCACCACTCGCTTGCTTGTTTGGGAGGACTTGGCCAGCTCACCAACCTCCCTGCAGCCGTCGCCTTATTTGGGCCTAGGATTTTTCTCAAAGGGAAAAAAAAAAGGCCCGACCCGGTTCCATTTTTAACCTGGTGACACAGGTCCCGTGTGGGCTTGTGGGCACAGCGCTGGCCCCGGAGGATGCCGGTGGCCTGCTGGCTGGTCTCAGTTTCCCCATCCATGGAGTGGGCTGAAGAGGGCTGGTGGGTGGGTGCCAAGTAGGGGTGAGGTGGGATGAGGGGGCTCCTGTCCTCCCACTTCCCCACTTCTGGGTCCCTCCAAGTTTTGGGGGTCAGGACCCCATCCTGTCTCCTGCTCCCACCCCTGGGGGCCTCCCTGGATTACGCCCACCTTTTACTGATGAGTCTCTGTCCCATCACCTTCTCCCCGTCTCTCTTTTGGTAACTGTCTCTGTGTCTCTCTCCATCTCTCTCTCTTTTTTTAGGTTTTTGTATTTTATTTTAAAATTTTTATTGAACTGTAGTTGGTTTATAATGTTTCAGGTTTACAGCAAAGTGATTCAGTTACACAGATTATATATGTTCTTTTTCAGATTCTTTTCCATTACAGATTATTACAAGATTTTAAGTATAGTTCCCTGTGGTATGTAATAGGTCCTTGTTTATCTGTTTTATTCTCTCTGTTGCTTTTTTGTCTCTGTGTCTCTCCATCTCTCTGTCTCTGTGTCTCTCTCCATTTCCTCTCTCTGTTTCCTCCTCCGCCTCTGTGTCTCCATCTTTCTCCATCATCTCACCTGCCCCCGTTGATCCGGCTCACCAGGGTGGGGTTGACCCAGGCGTTGGAAACTCCTCCGGGAAAACTCCGGGAGGCCAAGGCAGGCACAGACCAGACCCTGGCTGCCTTCTTTAGATCTCGTACCCTCCCTGCTCCGCTCAGGTTCTGGCTGCAGCTCCCCAGCACCCACAAAAACAGGAGGCAGCTTGGCAACTCAGCTTCTCACTCAAGACCCCTGCCCATGCCCTCCCCAGGTTCTCCCCACACTCAGCTCAGAGCTCCTAACACTGCTGCGCTGGCAGGGCCGCCATCTCCTCTCCTCTGGGCCTTTGCCTGTTTCATCCCTTCTGCTGGTTACTCCTTCCCTCCAGCAACCTGGAGCAGGACTCGCTGCTTTCAGAAAGAGATATTCACTCATTCCATCACCTGAGGAACACAGAATGCCTTTCCCCTGCTGAGCCCCAGCTGCACGTGCTCAGAATGTGGGAGCCGTTATTACAATTGTTATTGTTTGATCATCTGTTTTCGACTGTGAGCAGCTTTGGGGCAGGCCTGTGCCTCAGTCTCATTTGTGGCCCCCAGAAGATCAGAAAGTCCTTGTTAATTAAAATGAACAATTCCCATCTATACACTCGCACACTCTCTCACACATGTTCACACACAAACACATATCTCTAACTCGGAAACTTCTATTCATTCTTCAAAGCCCAGATCAGATGCCCTCCCTGCCAACTCCACCTCCAGGAAGCCTTCCTGGACTCCTAGATAGAGCTGTGGACTCCCAGCCCAGCATCAAGACGTCTATGTGGGATGGAGAAGAGGTAGTGAGGCTTCTGTGTTTCCTGCCCAAGGCCGCAGAGGGAGAGGCCAGCGCCGCTGGGGAGTGCAGGAGTAGGGGGGTCAGGCTAAGGTTTAGAGTTCCCAGCACCTCTCTGCCACCTCCTGATTCCTTCACTGCCCCCTAAGCCAGCTTCCTTTTCTTGATCACGGTGGGATCATGGTGAGAACACCCTCCCCCACCACCACTGGCAAAGAGGTCCCCATATGGCAGCAAACAGAATAATCTGGAAACTTTCTCAGGCTCCAAGGACATTGGTTTCTCCTTGTGTTCAGGAGCCAAGGGGTCCCATCCCAGACCCCTCCACAACTCCATTCTCCATCCACCTCCCTTATCTCACACCTACCCCACGTCCTGGCTATGCAGACTGGTTCCTCTTATGATAAAAGCAGACTGTCGTAATTGCCAAGGATGTCAGTGGTGATTACAGGGCACTAGAGAGAGCATGGAATACTGCTCACTGAGCGCTCACCACACCCGGGAAGCCGTGCTGAGCCCCGGACTTGCAGCATCTCACTTAAGCCTCTTTGAAGCCTAAGAGGTAGGGGATGTTTCTATTCTCATTTTATCAAAGAGGAAGCTGAGGCCCAGAGTGGCCCACACAGGGTCACCCAGCTTATGAGTGGTAGAGCTGGCACCTGGCCCAGCTGACTCTGGGACAGAGCTGGATAGAAGTCCTAAGACCACGCTCACCATGCCTTCCTGCCCCCCAGCTCCCATCCCCTGATTGTCTTAGGCTGAGTCATTAGAGGTCAGCTCTCTCCACCCATGACTTCCCGTTGGGAGACCCTGGGACCACCCTCATCACAGGTGTTGTGGCTAATTCCAGGCCTGACACTACTGGCTCCAGAAAGGGACCCCTCCCCCAGGAGATGCTGGCTTGCTCCATAGCCTTGTAGGGTAGACGCTTGTCCCTGGAATGGCCTCTTGCTCGAGGAGCTCCCAGAGGTGCAATTTGTTGCCAGAGAAAGGAGAAGAGGGTTAGGAATGGTGTTAGAACCCAGCTGTACCCTGCCTTGCAGCCTTAGGACTGGAATTATGTTCTCTCTGTGTATCTGCCCCAAGAACACCCCAGGAGTCCCGGCCAGGGCTGGAAGGGTCATCTGGGGTTCCTGACCCCTGGGGGCCCTAACCTAGCTGTCCAGGCTGTGTGGCCTGGGGCGTAAGGTGGGTGAAGGATGCTATATGTAGCTCAGAAGAAGTGAGCTCCCCTCTTGCAACGTAATTCTCCAACTGGGGGCTTCCAAGGATGGGGGTGGGGGCGGAGTCCACGTTGCTATCTGGCCACTTCACAGCCCTGAGGCTCAGGGTCACTTAAGGAGCACCTATGACATGCCAGGCACTGTGCAGGCTTTGGAGACTCGGTGCTGGACATGACAGCCCAGTGGAGAGAGACCACCAATATCTGCAAACAATTGCAGGATTTATTAGGATAGGGCAAACTGCTGTCTTCGGTTGGGCTCCCCCAGAAGCAGACACTAAGACAAAAATTTGAGAGCAAATAATTTCTTTGGGAGGTTATCCAAAGAAACACGGGTAGGCGACGGGGAAGTGAGACAGGGAGGAAGCCAGTAAAGCCTGCGTGGTGAAGCCCATTACCACTCGGGACAGCTGGGGCACAGTCCCGCCGGGGACCTCTAGGGAGCAGCAGAGAGCACGCCCTTCAGAGTTTGAAGACCTGAGGGTGAAGGAGCTGGGATATTTACCCACCAATCCCCATCCTCGTCGGTTGAAGGCGGCTCCTGCGGGTTTTGATATGTCAGCACTTTTGGCCTGGCTTTGCTTGGGCCACTGCCGGCTTCAGCAGCCGGACAAAGACCCTCCTCCTCCTCCCCGCCACACGTAATTGCTGGAAGAAGGAAGCCTTTGGTGTGGGGACCTGGTTAGTTTCGGGTGGGTCAGTGAAGTCTTCCCTGAGGAAGTGGCAGCCGAGGTGAGGTCTGAAAGAGAACTGAAAGGCGGGTGGGGGTGGTAGAAACAGGTGTTGCTTATGCGAAAATCACAGGTGGGAGGGGCTGAGAGGAGATGGGCGTGGCTTGAGTGCTGAGAGACAGGAGGAGGGAGTGTGGTGGGTGATGAGCCTGCAAGGACCTGAGGACAGAGGAGGGTATGAGGGCGCCCCTCCCCTCAACACCTCTCCTGGAGTTTGAGGCATGCAGAGGGGCCGAGGGACTAGAGTGAGTACTGGAGGAAAAGAGCCAAGGTGTTTTCAGCTTGCATCTATGGAATCTTGCTCGTTGAATAATAATATGATGATCAAAATGAATATTGAACAATGATAATTGAAATGTCACTGGCTCAAGATGACCCAGAGCATGTGCTGGGCAGGTTATGTGCAGCATGTTGGGGGTGGGGGTGAGCGGGGATGGGGAATCATTGACCCTTTACTGAGAACCTTGTGCAGTGTGTACTTGGGGTCCCCCCAGCAGGGAAGTTGCTCAGCAAAGTTGCACAGTTGGCACGTGCCAAAGTCAGGATTTGAACTGGAGTCTCTGATTTCCTGGAACCCTGAAATCACCATCGTTCCAGCCCTGCTGCCCTAAGAATCACTGGGGGAGGGGCAAGTCAGTGTCATCAGTGTCAGGAGGAGGGAGCAAAGGGCTCTGTGTCCTCCCCAAATTCCCTGAGACAGACTCCAGGGGAACTGTGTGGGCTACAGAGCTCTCCCACAAATGCTGAAAAACAGGCATGACCACAAACTTTGTGGCATTGTCATAATGATTCATGATAATTATAATTAACATTGACCTGGCCCTCAATCTGCCTGTGCTGTTCTAAGTGGCTCACATGTCTAAGCTCATATATTAATTTTCACAATAGCCCAATGAGATAGAGGCTGTGATTATTCCCACTTTACAGCAGGAGAAACTAGAGCACAGAAAGGTCAAGAAACTTGCTCAAGGCCACACAGCAGAAAATGGCAGAACCAAGATTTGAACCCAGGCTGTCTGACTCCAGAGTTTACACACTGAACTGCCGTATGATACTCTGAACAGGGTCATATGCTTGACTTCTAGTCCAAATTACCTTCCCAGTTGGCAGCCATTGCCCATTGGGTGTGAGAGCTACTACTACTGGGAGATGATTCTCGGTGAGTCCTAGGTATTTCTGTACAACCCACAAGCAGGAATGTGGCTAGTTTTCATTTTGGCTATCTTTTCAAGGATGTTTGTATAGCAAACAGCCTTGGAAGATAGATAGAATTTCTTGCTGTGGAGCAGAGGGCAGGTTTGTTTGCTGTCCACATGATAAAGATAATGCTTCCCTCTGAGACCAAGCTAGAGCAAGTTTGTTCTCAGAGTTACTCGGCTAT